GTGCTGCGTGGGGGTGGGGTGGTGGTGGGGCGGGGGCGGAAGGGCCGGGTGATATCCAGCGGCCATGAAGGGCCGGCGGGTGTCTAGGGCGGCTTGATGCGGCTGAATCCGGCTTGATGCGGCTTGGCGGCGGGCGCCGCAGCTGCTTGACCACTCGCTGCTCCGCGCGTCGGCGTGACACCAGTGACCTCACGCACAAACTGTATTTATGCATGCGCCTTGTGTCCCGTGCGCGCACTGTTTGCACACACACACATACGCATGTACACACACACGCACGCACAAGCACATACACACGCACACACACTCAAACACTTGTGATCCCACTCCCCGCACCTTGTACGGCTCGCAAGGTGATGCGTGCATCATGTAGAGCAGGTTCTCAGCATAAGACAGGTCGTTGCGGGGGTAGATGATGGGCATGCCTGATTTGGGGGTGGGAGTGGTGAGGGTGAGGGTGAGGGTTGAGTGGTGAGGGGAGTTGCGGAGTTGCACGGTTTGAAAGTCGGGTGCTGACCCATTATGGGTGGTGGGTCGTCGTGGGGAGTTGGGCCATGACGTAGTGGCCGCCGGTGACAGGCGGAAGGAGGTTTGTGCACCAGCGGCGTTTCGGAAGGGCGTGCATAGCGTGTGACGATCGCGGCTTCGGCCCCGGCAGCAGGCCCGACCCAGGGGTGCCGTATCCCACACTGGCCCGCCCGCCGCCCCAGCTCGAGGCCCCACACGCGAGGCTTGAGGCACGACAGCGAGACCGCCTGGAAGCATCTCCAAGGCAGCGAGCCGCCGACTATTGTCCCGGCCTCGAGAAGCAGCACGCCGCGGAAGAAAATCACCGGCGAGTGACGGCACGATTCACGGGGAAAGAAAAAGCCGCCGAGCAGCAGCCGTGTCGCGCCCCACCTCGGGACGTCTTGTACGCGAGCGCCGCCAGCGTGGGCATCTTGGAGATGAGTCGCATGCACGCGCGCAGCTGCTGCGTCGGGTCGTGGACCTCTGAGGACGACCGGTAGAAGGCAGACAGCGCCCCCACCACGCCCACCTGGATTTCGGAGGTTTGTGGGTTGGGGGTTTTGGGGGCGGTGTTGGCGTTGGTGGGTGACGTCGACGCACAAAACGGGTGGCACCCAAGGCAGGGGCAAGCGGGCGTCACTAGCATGCAAAAAGTATCGCAGCTCATGGCAGCCCCCCGCCCCCACAAGAACCAGGCAAAGCCCCAGAGCCCTGATGCCATACGGCGCTCCCTGCAACACCCCCCCCCCCCCGCCCACCATGATGGCCATGGGGTGAGCGTCGTGTTTGAAGCCCTTGTAGAACTGGATCAGCTGCTCGTGAACCAGCGTGTGACGCTTGATCTCCACTTCGAACTTGCGCTTCTGGATCTAGAGATCACATCAGATCAGAACGCGAGATCCAAGAGAACAGAGGGTCCTCAGCGCACTCAGTCGGGAGGCGGGGGGTTGGTGGCGGAAAATCCGGGTCCGGGTGATGTGCGGCGCGGGGGGCTGCAAGCGAGGAGTGATGGGTGTGAGGCATGCCCGCCGCTCCACACGCATCGCCCCTCGCCCCTGGCCCCCACCCGCCGGCAGCGGCGGCTGCAGGGCCCGCCCCTCCCTGCATCGCTGCAATCCGCAGGCTGTGACCGCACAGTGCACCGTGATCGGTGCGGTGCCCCGCTGTAAATTCTGCTCAGTGCAGACTGCGCGGTATTGCCAGCGTGCGATCTGGCGGTGCATGAGTCATGGGCGGACCTTGGTGGGGAGGTCCCCGTGGAGCAGCACGTAGGCTGCGTCGAAAAAGTCCCCCTTCTCCGCAAGCTGCTCAATAGGATAGCCCCTAGTGTGTGTGTATGCGTGTGTGTGTGTGTGTGTGTACGTGTGTGCGCACGCGTGTGTGTGCGTGTGTGCGTGCGCGTGTGCGTGCGCGTGTGTGTGTGCGCGCTTGAGTGTGTGTGCGCGCGCACGTGTTTGGGCGAGAATCATTAGGGCGTGGCAAGGCGCTAGGAGCACCGAGTGGCAAAGGTGCGAGCTCGGGGGCGTGGCGACGAGAACGGAACCTGCAAGCACCCGTGGGAACCCTCGTGGGCGGCGCGCCCCGCCCTGCCGCTTCGTCGAGCTGCCAAGGCAAATTTGCGGCGCCCCGTGGCGCCGCGACGCAGCCGCGGCGCTCGACGTGCCCCTCCCCCCATACCCAATGTTGGCGGCGCTCCTCTCCCCCAATTACACACACACACGCACACACAAGAACATATATACACACACACGTGTCCACACGTCTCCACACATATGAACTCATATCACATGCACACACACGCATACACACACACACAAACACGCGCACACGCGCGTGCCACATTCGCACTTGCTGGAATGGTTTGTTGAAACGCAGCTGCGCGTCAACCACACACCTGTAGAGGAGCACGCCCTTGCCGCCGTCAATGTATGTGATGGCTGACTCGCAGGCCGCTGTTATTATAAACAGCGTGGTCCAGCGCAGGAATGGGAAGGGAGCAAACGGGAACGCGATAGAGAGGGTGGGAGGCGCAGCAAGTGGGAACGCGGCGCGAAGGGCATGCGTGCAAGGCGAGGCAAGGCGACCATGCGCCACGTGGCGCGCCAGAGAAGCTTGCATGGGCGGTGGATTGCGTTGCCCTGCGCAGGCGCGTGGGGGCGCCTCCAGGCGCGCGGCGCACCTGTGCTTGTGAAACCCGGGTCAAAAGTGCAGATCCCAGTCCTGTGGGGTTTGGTGTGGAGCAGCAGGCTCAGAGCAATGAAGACGGGCTCCGCCGCTTTCAATCAGGCACGCGCCGGAGGGGGGCAAGGGCACGCGAACAGGCGTGCCGAGCAGGCCGGCGCAGCAACAGCGTCGGGCGGTTGCGGAAATGATGATTCCCTGCGGTGCGTGGGACCAGTCGGCTGCTCACGTGGGTTGCAGCCGCCTGATGTCAATAAAAGTGTTGCCCGCCGCGTCCTGCAAGTTGATGGGCAAAACGATCTAAGGGAGGCGGCGCTCCCGGGCATGCGGGCCGCACCAACAGGCGTCTCGTGGCGGGGCGCTGTCCAACTGCTTGCTACCGTTCCACTGTGGCACATTGCGGTGCATGCGGTACCGCTGGGGGTGCATGCGACATCCACCACCATGCTGCAAAGATATGCTTGCTTGCATGCTAGCGGAGCTTGCTGGGGTTTGGCCCGTGCCCGCGCCGGCGCCATGCAGCGCGAGCGAGTCACCGTCAGGATTGGCAGGTCGAGCGTCTTGCCGCCCGGCAGCGAGAGTTTGGCAACGCGGGATTCCTCGTGCTCCTTGACAGCCGCGAGGGCCGTGCCATTTAGCAACTCGCCCTTGGGTGCCTCCGCGGCCATTTCGGGAGTGATCTTGCTGTTCAGGCCAGGCTGGCGAAGGCGTGAAGCGGTGTAACAGTATTCGCCTTATTCCGCCTCTCTCAATATTCGGATATGCAATGTCATTCACTGCAGCGCGCCTCGGCCACTTGCGTGACCGAAACACCCAGCAACTGATGCCACACGCGCGTGAATCGCCCTGCCCGCGAGCCGCTGCAGCTGATTTCACTCGGGCTGCTTGACCTTATCAGCATCAGGGAGCGCTATGTGGCTCGAGGGCCATGATGTAGGCTGCCTCGGCATGCCGCCGTGGGGTGGGCATCGGGCGTCATCCTGTGCCTGGTGACCCGCAGCAGCGACGCGGGCCCAGGGGAGGGTGCCAGGCTACAAAACCAGCGCTGAGTACCTCAAAGCTAAACACAAAAATTGTTACAGCACCGCGTTAGAGTCAATGGGTGGCATCGCGCCACATCTTGGGCCCCTCGCACGCCCGCCTGCTCCCCTCCTCCCGTCGACCAACCCCCACCCCCTCACGAATCTGCCAAGGTTGTTCCACCAATACTTGTGAATTTGCAGGGCCGTCTTGAGTCACGTTATGCCCCCTGAGGCAGCAAGCATTCAAGTGGCTGTCAAGTTCCTAGAGTCCAGGGGTGTTGGCCATCATACATGCGGGTCAGGTGTCTTGGGCAAAGTGCGGCGAGCTGAACGAGCGGTTAGCATTGTGCTGATTTGCAAAGGTTGCAAACAGCATCGAAGATTAACATCTAGGCACCGGATGCAGCAGCGGCAGTGAAAGAAGCAGCAGCAGCCGCGGCGGCAGCAGCAGTGGCAGCAGCAGCAGCAGCAGCAGCAACGGCAGCAGCAACGGCGGCAGCAGCAACGGCAGCAGCAGCTTGTGTCCTTGTTCAGGTGTCCTGAGTGAGTGTGCTTTCCGACCCGTGCAGCCCCTCTCGCAGTCGCTACCCCAAGCGTACGCACCTACTCTGCTCTGCATCCGTGCAAACTCATGCCTAACAAAGCCATCACGCACCCCTTGCTCTCCACCCCCACGTGCTGCCAGGCCCAGCGCTTCGAACCCCAGGCTGTCAGATGACATTATGCGGCACACACACACACACACACACACACACACACACACGCACAACACACAACACACAACACACACACACACACACACACACACACACACATGTCCAGTCAGCCAATTGGTGTTACAAGACAGCGACAGGTGACAGGTCAGCAAAGGCCTTGAGGCGCGTTGCAGCGCCACCGGCTTTGCCACACAGGAAAGAGCATGTTATTGTAGGAATCAGCTCGTGGCGCTCTCGCACCAAAAGGCCGCTCCAACAGCCAGCCTTTTGTGGGCAACATGCCAACTGGAAAGAATGGCCGCCATTTCGGCGGCAAACGAAAGCTCAGTGGGCGGCGGGCACTTGTGTTTTGCCTTGAGCCAATTAAACAGCCACCTAGAACTGCTCAACTAATTATCTAGTAATCCTCACAGGAGGTTTGTAAACCGTCGTGCGTGTCAGTACGCTCGAAGAACACTGAACTAGCGGTGGGCAGACGAGGACAGCCCAGCTGCCGTCTTTCTGCTTTGCAGCGTCGCAGCTGCAGGCTGTCAACTGGGTCGACACAGGGCAGCAACAACACCTCAAGCAATCATTAGGGGCTCGTCTCACACCCTGTTGTTTCCAAATCAGTTGCCTGCTGCAGACGCCGAGGCAAAAGCCGACGCCAGCGCGGCGCGGCCGCCGCCAAGGGGCGTGGGGCACGAGAGGATGGGGAGGTGTGGCGCCAGCAGTGACATCATCTTGCACTGGTCCAGGCCGAAGCACAGGTCCAATGACACGCACATCCTGTTTTGAGGGGTTTGGGGGAAATGAAGGGGCAGGAGGCGGCCACAGGCACATAGGTGAGGAGGAGCGCGCTTTGGGAAAATGCCGTCAACCCGCTGGCAACCCGCTGGCAACCTGCGCAACCCAGTTCCGCGAGCAGGATCACGAGCCTGGGCTTCTTCTGACCAGACGCCGTGGGTCGAACACGTAAGCGTGCGCTCGCGCAAGGTGTGGTCTGGCGGACCCGTGTCGCCGCTCTCCTGCGCTCACCGGCCGCCAGCAAATGGGCACTCCTTGGTGCCGGGCGGGCAGGGGCAGGGGCCGCCGGGGGCGCACAGGCACTTGTCACCGTCGGCCGGCGAGCAGCCGGGGGGGCACGTCAAGGAGGGGGCCACGACGGCCTTGTCAATCTTGGGGGCCACGCACACCAAGTCAGGCACACTGGAGGGGGCATGAGAAGGGGAGGGAGGGGCAAAGGGGGGGCAAGGGGCGGTCAGGGGCCGGGAAACGTAAACAGGATGAGGTATGCATATCTGGCACCGTTGGCGTGCCCATGCAAAGCGGTCTGACATACCCATGGGAACGCGGCTGCACGAGGGCGAGAGCATCCGCTACGGGCGTGGCCCAGGCCACCAACAGGCGGCGTCCAACTCAACAACTCACGTCTGGCAGCTGCGTTGATGGAGGACGCACGCGGCATCAAGAGGGTCGACATGGGTGGGAAAGGCAGGGATGGAGATGGTGAGGATGAGCGCGGGGGCCGGGCCTGGGGTGACAACATTGCCAGTAACTCCAGGCTACCCCTTCATGCGCTGTTCAGCCACAGCCCTGCAGGCTCAACAGCCTGCCGCTTGCATGCGGCTTGAGCAGGCGCGCGCCCCCGCCCCCCTGCCGCGCGGCACCCACCACTTCTGGAAGCACTTTGGCACGACGCCGGCTTTGGCGTACGCCTCCGCTTTGACCACCACGCCGCCGGTGGCGCCCTTGCCCTTCCCAAGAATCTCCTTGGTCTTGGCCAGCACGGTCAGCGGCACTGACACCACCTTCTCCTCCTGGGGGCGTGGTGTGTTTGGAGTTGGCATCCGAGACGGGGTCAGGCGACCGGCGGGGCGGGCAGCTCCCGGCTCAAGCAACCGCAGCGCGGGCCGACAGTGGCACAGGGTGGAGGCTAGCCTGCTCGCTAGAAGCGCAGGCTTCCAGCCGCTGCTGTAGGGAAGCTGATCGCGTGGGGCAGGAAAAACATGCATACATGCTGCACAAGGCATGAGGCAGAAGGCAGTAGGCAGGACTCACGATGGCCTTGGCGATGCCCTTTCCGGCGATCAGCACGTTCTTGACCAGGTCAAGCTTGGGCAGGCCCAGCTTGAAGAACGCGACGCCTGCGGCCGCCTCCTGCGGTGCGCGATGCCGCATTGCGTCCAGAGACGCACAGGGGGGTGATTTAAGGGTGGGGAGCTGCATGTGCAATCGGGAGCCTGGCCAAGCTCACATGTGGGGGTGGTTGTAGCAGTTTTTTGGCACAAGCAGATTGGCGTACGCAGCGCGTCGGCGCCCACCTTGGGGCTGGGGTTTGACACGGCCTCCACGCTGACGTGGGCGATGACGTCAGAATAGGGCTTGGAGGGCGAACATATGGGCTCCATGCTGGTGCAGCCGCCGGGGCAGGCGCCCAGCGCCGCCCAGCAGACGTTGCGGGGCTCCTCCGCGCAGCACTGGCCGTCGAGGGGCTGGGAGCCGGGGGGGCAGAGCGACTTGGCGGTGTAGCACCTGTGATACAGGGTGTGACCCGAGGGGGGGGGGTGGAGGTATTAAGGTGAGTCGGGCGGGAGGATGAATTGGAGGAGCCGTTGCGGGATAGGTAGGGTCAGCCTAAAATTTGCAGCTCCTCCTTTGTAAAAATTGAGGGTGCTGGTATGTGCTGTGGACTCAGTCGAAGCTGATGCCATGGGCCCGGTCAGAGGGCTGCACACTTTTGCGGCCGTTGCGTGCGAGGGGGCGCATGCAGGGGGAGGGGGGCCAGGACTTACATGCCGCTGCCGTCCATCAAGAAGCCAGGGGGGCAAACAGGGATTGCTGGTGCGTAGGTCGGAGGGATGAATGACGGGACGCAAAAGGGGGTGCCTGGGGACAGGCAGGGAATTGCAGCGGTAAGGGAAGGGTGAATGGGTGGCGGCAAGGGGAACGGGCTGCAGCTGTGGTGGAACCAGTGCACAGCAGTGTGAAACTGTGCTGGCCTGGCACAGCGCGAGAGGGCGGCGCTGCTCACCGGCGCACTGGGCAGGTGCGAAGCCAACGGCTGGTGGGTATGCAGCGACAGCGCCCTTGCCGCCCTTGAGGCCAAAGCCGCTGTCAGCCAATGATAAGGCCGAGGCGGAAGTGAAACTATTGAAGCCGCTAGGGAAGGGTCCAGGCCCAAAGGCCGAGCCGCCGGCGCTCGCTGCTGCCAGCGCGTCTGCCGCCGCGCCACGAATTGTCGACTGCCACCCCGGCAACCCCGGGTTGGTCGGGGTCAAATACTTGCTGTAGCGCCCAGAACGCTTCGCTTCGCGCCTTTCAGCCGAATTAAGAGCTCCCTGGGCCACTACGAGGCCGCAGGCGAGCAGCAACAGCGCTCTGTGGAAACCCGCCATTTCTGGCTTCGCGGCAACAAGCTTCTTTACGACACGTGACCGTGTTGGCGATAAAATCGCGTATATTACCATCCAATGATACATATGCGGTTGTAATGCGGGCTTTGAGGTCCGCAGAGGCAGTCGTAACCGTGGTGTCACTGGGTGACATGGGAGCTGCGCGCTGCTGCTGCTGCGACGCTCCTGCTGCTGTGCAATGACAGAGACCACCGTTTGTGCTTCAAGAAAGCAGAACAAGAGCAGTGCAGCGGGTCTATCAATGTACGGTATGCACGCATGCAACTGCATTCCTGCGTTTTGCCTGCATCGACAGCCCCGCGGCGGGCGTCCCTGACCCGATTTCTTGCAAACCCAACTTGGCTTGGGATTGGCCCTGAGTGTACATCCACTAATAGGGCAGCTCGGCGTTGCATCGCGGATATGAGTTGCAAGCATCTCCACAGCTCATGTACTAAGCTTGCAAGGCATAACTGAATACAGCTGTTTGAGGCGCGTTCGTGTCTCGTCCCAGACATTTATTCCCATATTCGTTCCATGCCTTTGACTGACGAGCAGAGTCCTAGTGAACAAGTTTGATTGCAGCTCGAGCGGCTTGTTCTGCAAAAATCAACGTGTGAAGCAAGGCCAGGCCATGCGCTGCAGGGACAGGCTTTCAGGGTTGGCGCTCATGAGCACGCCTCCGTGGGTCCGGCATCTGGGCGCACCCCATCAGCGCGCAGCCTCGACCAGGGCTCCAGACACGCAATTCAAACGAGGGCACCTGGGCGCCGCCGGGCCGCGGGGGCCCTCGCACCCCGACATGGCTCAAGCTGACCAGGTCCACAACATGCAGACATCTGTGCCTTGATTTGTCTGACTGCTGGTAAAGTAGCTGCATGGCGGCTGCACCGCATTAGATGAAGTGAGCCAGGTGCGCTGCCTGTCACCCCTGGTCACCAACAGACACACCATGAGGGGCCCGCAGATCTGAGCATGGCACGCATGGTGCGCTTGGTAAGGAAAAAACGTCGTTAGATTCATCGCCTTTGAGCGAGAGTGCCTCATAGGCACTTAGAGGCCTGGCCACTATGTTTCGGGCACTCACATCCGGCTCCGTTGCACCCCAGCGAGCACAGCAGCGGAGACAAGGTGTATATGCGAATGTTTCAGCTTGCGCAGGCGTTCGCACGTTGTCGCAGCACCGCTCCACCTCCGCATGCGCGTCAGCAGCAGCAGCGGGAGCGGGCGAGTCGGGGGTGATCGCAAGTACAGCGGCGCCCGAGCAGCAGCCGCCACAACAACAGCAGCACAAGCCCGCCGGTTCTATAGACTGGGCTGCGAAGCGGCGGAAGCGGCTCGTGGAGGACCTGTCACAGGTGCAGCCTCACGCCAGCAAAGCTGCGCCGTGAATGCTGTCATGACATGGTCGCCTTGGAGTGGGGCGCTGCCCGCATGCCCATGCACAGCGACCCGCCCTTGATGCTCACGCGCGCCCGCCGCCGCCGCCGACGGCGCGAATACCGCCGCCCGCCCCGCCGCAGGCGGGCCGGAAGATGGGCGGCCGGTACTCGGACCCCTCAGCCATCGAGGCTGGCATCGAGGCCCTTGAGCTGCTGATCCCCGGGTTTCAGATCGACCTCGAACGCATCAAAGCCTCGGAATGGGTAAGGGGCCGCCGCGGCGCGGCGGGTCGGGCGGCCGGGCGAGGGGCTCTCCTGAGGAGTGGCACAGTGGTGCAGTTGGAGCGAGTGAAGCTGCCGTGCAGCTGCCGGCTGCCCGTGACAGCTCCTTCTGTTTTGAGGCGCAGGGAGCCTGGGCAGCGATGGGCTGGGGTCCAGCTGTGGTACAACAGCTGGATTGCAAAAGCTGGCGGCACGCGCGGGCTGTCACACATACGATCCTTCCGTCCTTCGCCTGCTCCCCTCGTGTTTGCCGCACGCCCCTCCCTCGTGCATTTGCAAACCCTGTCCTTTCCCCGTCAGCGCGCCTCCCCCTCAAGCACCCATCCGCCACCCCCGCCCAGCTCTGAGCGCACATCCTCACCGACCACCCTCCGTCCCCCAGCCTGCACCCGTCCAGACCGCCGAAAACTTACTTACACCGCCCACACGCCCTCCCCCCC